GTCACAATCAAATCCTCACTAAACTCTCTAACATCTCTCTTATCTCCACTGCTCACCCTTCTCACATCCCCTTATCACCCAGTACCGCTAATGCAAACGATGCGAGTTCACGAAACATCATTCTTGGTCTCTTGAAATCCCGTTCTAGAATACATGTAGCTTTTAATGTACGGACATTGTCTTAAATACGACAACAGGCTTCCTTAGCTAGGACTTGAGAATCTCACACTATCGATGTATGATGCGTCTCGGTAACGCGCATATAGGATTCAAGTAGTGTCATTCCCTAGACCTCTCCATGTCAAGATAAAGAAGTGACTCGTGTCACTCTTCGCGTATCTGGAAGCCCTGGTGCTGCTTCCCGGAGTCTCGCTGATATAGGCATAGCATCGAGTTCTAGCGCTCCTAGGTTGAATCCCAGTAGATAGTCGCTTGTGCGCTATCCGACTTAACAGATCAGTAAGTACTTGGAAAGATAGTGAGACTCGCCGTTGCCTCTTCGTCGTATCTGCTTACGCTCCCACTGACTGCAGTTCAGACGACATAAAAGATAAGTTTTACAGAAACCTCTCTAACCTCCTTCAAAAAGTTAAGCGCTCTGATATAGTAATAATGGTTGGTGACTTTACCGATCAAGTAGGTAGACTCAGTGAAAAGGAACGACACCTGGGTGGATCTTATGGTGTCGCAGCTCAGAGAACAGATAGTGCAGACCATCTGCTGCAGCTATGCTCGGATAACCGCCTATTTCTAGCAAACTCTAACTTTAAGCATAAGGAAAAACATCTTTTGACCTGGGGACCCCCAAAATCGGCACAACGCTGGACCCAACTAGATCACATCGCCATCAGCCACCGATGTAGGGGTTCGATAGAGAACTGTCGCTTGTCCTGGGGCACATGTTTAGATTCGGATCATGCCCTAGTGCGAGCGCGTATTTGTTTGAGGCTTACCGGACGTAGGAAAGACACCACAAGGAAACATTTTAGGGTTCTACGTAATGATAGTAGAGCTATGAATATATTTCAGAAACAACTAGAAAAACAGTCAAGCGGCAGTGTCAGTGATTTTCACCTGAAGGCAGCTTGGAACGATATCCAGAAAGCTATGGAAACAGCAATGATATCTGCTAGTAAGGTAAACCATATGGCTAAGAAGAATCCGTGGATCTCGGTAGCATCCACCGAACTGATAAACGCTCGGAAACTCATCCCATCTAGCTCTGGACATGAAGAAGCGCAGGTTGATACAAAGCCTACGCAATGATCACGAGCATTGGTGGGAGTTGAAAGTGAGAGTGATCAAAAAGGCAGCGGCGATAGGCAACAGCATACAGTTGTTCCGCCTTATCAAGGAAACCGGCATTACGAATCCGAGTGTGAGTGAGACTATCTTGGAAAAGGATGGGATTATTATTCATTATCAATCGAGGAGATTGGATCGATGAGCAGAGCACTTCAGGGATCAGTTCAACTGGCCTGCAGCCACACTTCGGTTACCCACGATCTCCAGTCATCCTGAATGGCAAATGGATTTAAGTCCTCCAAGTCTTTACGAATTTAAGAGAGCTATAGAAAATGTGGAGAGAGGGCGAGCTTCATGGCCTGACAGACTTACCTTTGAGATATTTAAGGATGGTGGTCCAGTTTTAGCAGCTAGATTGGCTGAAATCTTAGGTAGAATCTGGGAACTGGACGTAATCCCATCCGACTGGTCCCAGTCCTTGATTGTCCCAATTTATAAGAAAGGAAAAAAGTCTTTTCGTGACAATCACAGGGGAATAAGTCTAACTAATATAGTATCTAAAATATTGGCCTCAATAATACTTCAACGCTTAACGATAGCTCGTGAAGAGAAGACTAGAGAAAACCAATCTAGTTTCAGACCTGGATATGACTGTATAGACCACATCTTCACACTACGACAGGTCCTGGAACATAGACACACTTTTAGACGTCCTACAACAGCTGTGTTTCTGGACCTAAAAGCAGCTTTTGACTCTGTTGATCGTGAGGTTCTGTGGCAGTGTCTGTCATTGAAAGGTGTACCAGAGAATTACATTAACCTCATACAAGCTTTCTACTCGAAGACCACTGGTCGAGTGAGAGCTTATGGCAAACTGTCAACGGAATTGATTACTTCAAGTGGTGTCCGTCAGGGCTGTCCACTCCATTCCTGTTGAACTTTGTCGTAGACATACCTTTACATTTAACTTTATCTTCGTCTGACTTTTCAGAGGTTAAATTTCTACCTGTAGGCCCGCTTATTGACTTAGAATATGCCTATGACATAGTTCTGTTAAGTAAAGACGCTGACAGAGTCTTCTGACTACCCTAGGCAACAATGCATTCATGTTCGGGATGCAATAGTCCTCCTCGAAATGTACAGTGTTGCTTCTGGATTGGCTTGTATCGACACTTGAATTAGAGATAGGAAGTGGAGCAGTTGAGCATGTGTACCGCTTCACTTACCTCGGAAATCTAACCAGCGCTGATGGCCTGGTGACTGACGATATCTCAGCGCGAATACAGAAGGCTCGATTAGCTTTTGCCAACGTGCGTCACGTATGGTGTAGGCGAGATATCTATTTGCTTACCAAAGGCGATTCTACTGCGCAGTAGTTTTTTCCGTCCTACTATATGGATGCGAAACATGACCAGTCAGAATAGAAGATATTCGTAGGCTACTAGTATTCGATCATAGATGTCTCCGAAGCATTGCTCGTGTATCGTGGGACAACCGAGTAAGCAATGTTGTCGTTAGGAAATTAGTACTAGGTAGGGATGACAGATCGATAGATGAAGTATTGGAACTTCATCAGTTGAGGTGGTTGGGACATGTGTTGCGTATGCCGAACCATCGACTCCCTCGTCGAGCTATGTTTTGTGATGTAGGAATCGGTTCGAAGTAAGCTAGGGTCGGCCAGACCAAAACATTGCACAAATCCATGAAGTCACTGACAAGTGAACTGAATCATGTCGGTAGGTGTCGACTACCTGGTTGGAGTCCGCGAGATGATAATAATCGATGGTTAGAGACCCTGAATGACATGGCGCACGTGCATTCATTCTTTGTGTTCACTGAAATGCTAATCTTCTGATTTCCTCATCACCTTTATCTTTCTCTTTCTTAATTTGTTTCACTGAATCATACTTCTTGAATAATATCTTCGAACCCTAATCTTTTCGGTTATCGCTGTGCCAATGTTGTGTGGCAACATGAACTTATATATGTACGTACGAAGTTCTATGTTGTAACTGACTAACTGACTTATTGATCTCAGACGCTCCATATTTTCGATGATGATTCCACATGTTTCTTCCATCCACGCTGTTAAATGCTTTCGATAATCGAGGAAGCGATTGCTAAAAATGACCCCTAGTGTTCGCAATGTGGTCTGTAAATGGTCGATGCCTGCGGAATTCAGCCTGTTGGTCTCGAAGTTAGTTGTTTTCAGAATCCCATTCGGTTCAAAAACATTCAGTTGAATATTTATCCTAGTACTGATAGAGTGACGCCTCTGTAGTTCTCTCACAAGGCAAGGTCTTTGTTTGAAATCTTGATAAGGTGTCCTTCCTTCCAATCTATTGTTACTTGTTTTTACTCCGAAATCTAGCTGAAGAGAGTGTGGAGCATGTTTAAAGTTATTGCTATGTCTAGTTTCAATGCCTTAGCTGATCTTTTACCTGCTTTGGCACTCTTGATTTGTCTGGTGGCCATGTTGATCTTTTTCATTGTTGTTGTGTTGACAGCAATCGCTAGGGCTATATGTGCTGCTTCGATGTTGAGTAGATTTACTAGGACCGGTCTATTGAAGAGCGCTTTATCGTGCTCTGCCTATCTGTTCTACTGTTTTCGGATCTCAGTAATCGGTTTGCCTTCCTTGTTCGTGACTGGGTGTCATTGTTTGCTGTCTTCCTGTTCGTTTCTTGAATTTTGTCCAGAGTATTAACAGAGATACATTCTTTGTATTGGTACTTATTGCTGTTGAGCAACTCTGCATATTTTAAAGTTATTGTTTATTTAATCCATTTACAGTTGCTCTCCATAGTAGTTTTTTCTTCTTTGAGTACTTCGTGTAAGGTTACGACGTCCTTACTTTCACATCTTTTTACTATTGACTGCAACCTCTCATGAAACTGGTCTATATTTTCTTCATTGCTATCATAGGTGGGTGCATAACTCTGATTAATATTATGGTAGTCCCCTTTGGATAGCATCAGTCAAACTCCTTGTGTATGTGAGTCATTTTCTTCATGGTCAGATTAAGACAACACTTTTCCTTAAGCTTCTCTTTTCTGTTCAGCTTTTGTTCAATGGGTTTTACTCATACCAAGCACCTCCGAGTGTTATTTTTACGTCCTGATAGCTATTCGAATGATCCTCTCGGTGCCGCACATTCTGCGGAAATTCTAACTATACTAATTGTTATTTTGTTTGTCAGACGGATCATCAACCTCGTAACTTCCTAAGAAACTCGGCTTTCACCATAAAACAGCATAGCTCTCCTGAATGAAGACACTTCAGCTCTCTGGGCAAAGAATAAACGGTTAAAATGGTATTTTTACTGGCAGTTTTTAGCGGAGCTTTTTTTATGAAATAGGGATGCTAACCTCATGTCCGATTTTCCTTTTAATGCCTTGGGAGTGGCAGTAACGTTAAGAGAACTCCAGGTGGTTATATATATATATATATATATATATATATATATATATATATATATATATATATATATATATATATAATTCATTTATGCTTTAGACATTTCAGTTGCAAATAATTACTTCGTATTTCTTTCATTGTGCTCATTTTCAGTAAATATGAAACAAAAATATGTAGTGGGAGTCTTAACTTTAAACTTTTCAACATGTATATTTGAGATACAGTTTGTTTCGCTTTCTATGTAAAAGGATTGACTTACTGTCGTGAAACCGTTCCATTTTAGCGTATCATGTTATTATTTTTTAAAATTTATTTAAAATGCTCGAAATTCATTCCAGTTACCGTCAAAATGAATCCCGATTATTTGAACTGGTTACTGAAAAAGCACTAGCAGTAAGTTGTTTTTCTATTATTTGTGTATTGACTTGTAGTCTTCTATAATTGCTTATTACTATTTATAATATTAAAACCACGTTTCATTGTCCAGTTGTGCATTTTATTCGTTATTTTTCATAACAATCAACCATGCGACTTTACTGCATAGTTGTCATTTTTGGCAAATAGAAAAACTGGAAATAGTAAAACAACTTGAAGAGCGAAAGCACAGTAAAGTTGGAAGTACTCTGCATCACCAAGCTCGACTATTATTCATTTTTTAGATTGGCTGACTTGAAAGGCTATTACGGAGAACACCAGATATCTTGTTACAATTCAATCGACAGCGGTTTCACGTGTTTATGATAGATTCTTCGTACGACTTCTGTAATACTTTTTTTCATAATTTGATCAATTTAGCTAACGAAACCAAAGTTTGCAGTGAATAATTAAGAAAGATTATATAAAAACAACCCACATGCATTTTGAACTTCTGGTTACGTCAGTTTTTGGAATTAATGTTATTGGATTGCTGGCGGTTTACTATTTTAATCAAATCAATTCATCCATTTTTATCACCTAGTCTGCTAGTTTTATGTCTCACTCACTTACAAATCATACTTTGGGTATATTGGTAACTAAGTTTTTGTACTCTTCATTTTCTTCGTGAAACGATGTATTAAAACAGTTTTGTTTTAGTAGACTATATAACTATGCTTTATTTCTACCATAGTTTTTTCTATCAAAACGACATTAAAATTCTATAGATAGTCTGATTTGCAGTACCGTATGTCATGTTTCTCATTTTATTAGGAAATGACTGCTGACTTAAAATTGCGAACTTTACGATGGAAGTTTGTTGGTAATATTGAACCACCCAGAGTTGTACAAATACGTTGCAATGAACTTTTATCTAAAAGCAATTACTACGCTCAGGTTACAGTTCGTTTCTATACACAACAGGTAATGAATCAACTAATTCACTAGTATATGACTTACGTTTGTAGTATTGTTCGTTAATTTAAGTATTCATTAATGTTAATAGTTAATAAACTTTATAAATTTTTAAGTACGGATGTGGCTCTTTTTATTATCATGTGCACTATTTATTTTAATGTTCGCGTCATAAATCTCCATAAGAAGCAGTGAATTGTCGTTCTTTTTACTTGCTTACTTACGCCTGTTACCCCCAATGGAGCATAGGCCACCGACCAGAATTCTCCTACTTGCTCTGTCCTGGGCTTCCCTTTCCATTTCTGTTCGACTTTTGCTTATTCTCATGTTTGTCCCCATTTCTCGGCGTAATGTGTTTCTTGGCCTCCATCTTTTCCTTTGACCTTGAGGGTTCCAAGTGAGGGCTTGTCTTGTGACGCAGTTTGGTGCTGTCGGAAGTGTGTGTCCTATCCACTTCCACCGCTTCTTCCTGATTTCTTCCTCCGCTGGAATCTGGTTTGTTCTCTCCCACAGTAGGTTGTTGCTAATAATGTCTGGCCAACGGATCCGAAGAATTGTGCGAAGACAGCTGTTAATAAACACTTGTATCCTCTGGATGATGTCTTTCGTAGTTCTCCAGGTTTCCGCTCCATATAGTAGAACTGTCTTGACATTTGTATTGAAAATCCTGATTTTGATTTTGGTTGAAAGTTGTTTGGAGTTCCAGATATTTTTCAACTGTAGAAATGCAGCTCTTGCTTTGCCAATCTGCGTCCTTACATCTGCATCGGATCCACCTTTCTCGTCGATGATGCTGCCCAGGTATGTAAAGGAGTTAACGTCCTCCAAGGCATCTCCATCAAGAGTGATTTGGTTGGTGCATGTTGTGTTGCATCGGAGAATTTTTCTTTTTCCTTTATGTATGTTGAGACCTACTGCTGCAGAGGCTGCTGCTACACTGGTCGTCTTCTCTTGCATTTGTTGTTGCGTGTGCGATAGAAGAGCCAGATCATCTGCGAAGTCCAGGCCATGCTGATCTCTTCAATTGTTGGTGGGCCAACATTGATTGGGGGGTTCGTGGATTCTGTTTCAATGTTGGGTGGGTTCAGTGGAGCTGGTCGATTCAGGAATTCCTTAAAGCGCTCTACCCACCTGCTTTTCTGCTCTTCATTGTTGCTGATTACTTTGCCTTCCTTGTTTTGCACTGGTCGTTCTCGTTTACGATTGTTTCCAGCGTGCTTCTTTGTTGTATCGTACAGTTGTCTCAAGTTCCCTTCTCTTGCAGTCTTTTCCGCCGTCATTGCTAGATCACCAACATATTTACGTTTGTCGGTTCTGATGCTCTCCTCCACTTGCTTATTTGCCTCTGTGTATTCAGCTTGTGTTTTGGCTTTCGTTGCTCTTGATCGGTTTATATTTACTGCTGCCTTCTTGTTCTTCATTTCTTGAATCTTACCAGTGTATCAACATGTGATCCATCCTTTGTGACGGTGCTTCTTGTGACGCAGAACCTCGTGTCATGTTGAAGTGATTGTTTCCTTGCTTCCTTTCCAGTTTTCCAATGATTTAATATTAAAAGCCTAGAGCCTATCGCTGAGTGCTATAATGGTAACTAAAGATAGTCTTATTTGACCAACCTGTGTCCAATGTGTTTCACTTATTTCAGGCACCTGTAGGTAGTATGTTTTCAATTTTGAAGTAGCTTAGATGATTCTCTCAGTCTTCCACATTGCATAAACATTTCATGTTCTGAAATTAATGGTTACTGTGGTTTTGAGAATGGGCATCGGCCTTGTGGTTTCCTAAGGAACTCGGCTTTCATCGTAAGACGTCATATCTGTTCTAAATGAAGACCTTTCAACTCGCAGGGCAGAGTTTTAATGGTTTGGATTGTTTCTTCTGGTTAACATTTTTTGTAGCAAGTTAGTGTTCTACAGAATGGGCCGTTAACCGCAGGCCTAACCCTCCTCCTTTATCCGGGCTTCGCACCGGCAGTAGCCCCAGGTGGAGTTCGTGTAGCTATGGCATTTCTTTTCATAGACTTTCCAGTTGTCTACTGAAGCTTTAGATCGTGTGTGACGATTGATTGATCGTACTCAGTTCAACTTTAATCAACTCAAAAATTCTGGGGTCATACTAAGTTAAGAATGGTCTTCGTCCGTAACTTCTTTGCATATATCTAACCAATCTGAATATTTTATCTTTTGTATATTGTTGTTAACTTCGGTTCCCATATTTCTTTTAAATAATCCAGATTTTATCAATTTACAATCGTTTTGGTCGTCTATTGTATGGTAACCCGGATACTGCTGTTGACGTACTCGAATACACTGTATTTGAAAAGCATATTTCTGATGAATATGGTACATGGAGATTACATGGTAAAATTTCTCATCCGAATTCTACATCGAAATTTACCTATATACCTACTCAACGATTACTGCCAGTTAATTCATCATCAACAACAACACCGGAATCAACTAACTTACTAGCAAATAATGAAAATGACACTGATAATCCTATGTCAGTTACCAATTCAAATAAAGATAGTGTAAATTAATTTCATGGTTTTCTATATTAACAAAAAGTAACGAATCAACAATATCTTATAATTATTTCGTGCTGTAGCAATAAGCATCCTTCACTTCTCTATGGGATTGTAAAGCTAAAATTATGCTGCTATTCAACTGAAGGTTGACTAATTTGTTAATACAGTCAGATTTTCACTAGTAGGTTATGGTGTTAAGGCCTTCCCGACCTTCTAACATGTGACATCGGTTGAAATTCCTTGCCACTCCTAAGTCCTAGTCTACTGTTTTAAAGCTAATATTATAGAAAATGGATGTGCATAATTAATGAATATTATGTACATTGGTAGTAGTAGTCGTAGCAGTCCCCAGTTTATATTATTGGTATATTTTATTCTCAATTAAAAAATATACTTCTCACTGACATTTCCTTCAGTATGTATAAATTTATATTCATTTCATTATTTCTGAGTTGATTATTTGAAGTAGAAAGAACCTCAAACCTTACTGAAATTTTTCCTGCTGTTTACAAATGGCATTTCAGATGTTGTTTCCATAAATTAGTGGTCAAATCCTCATCTGCAGGGGCTCTAAGCTGTTAACAGATGTTAAAATCTTGAGTTAAATGAAGTTGGAAATATGTGCCACTGGATTCCCTTCACTTCAATCTCTACTTGTCATGGATTTGTACCCCTTAAGTTTCCCACAATAACGATATATATATATATATATTTATATATATACATATAACCAAAAACTTATTTGTTCCGTATATAGTACTGTTTGTAGAATGGCCAATAAAGGCGTGTAAAGTTTTGGCATACCAGAGAACTGAGTTTTACTATATACATACATTTGTTAGCGTATAAAATCTGGATGTATCTGAAAAATTTCAGCTATCAAGGAGTACATGTTATGATTGCATTTCATTATGAACATGAATGTTCGTCAACCACATCATTGTTAGCCCCATATACTAACATGTAACGATTTTCCTCTCAGCGTAAAATATTATTACAGTTTGTTTTTCTTAATGGTTTTTCCCGTCTTGATCATAATGCTCTTGCGAAAAGAAGCATACATAGGTATTTCAAGCCTCATTAAAAAGTTATAATTGAACGCTATTTGGTTTAAAAATTATATTATACCTTGCACTGGAAACTAAAATACCATATTTCAACCTTATTAACCTCAGATATGTATTTTAAAACACTGACTGACATGACGTGCAGAGTCATAAAAAAGAATCCTAATGCTACTGTATTTATATTTCAAACAGACATGGTTTATATACCTGCATACTGGATTCACCATAAAATAAAAAAACTAACAATTATAATAAAGTTGCTGTGACGAGGGGAGGTTGTAAGTGAGACTGACAACAAACTAATAATAGTAGGTCCTACAAAATTAGTTCGTAGGCTAACCGAATTCCTCATGACAAATAGAATATTTATATACTTGGTAATCCAGTTACTCAGTAAGTATACAGTATAAATATATAGAATAATATTACTATTCCCAAGATCAGTTCTACTAGAAGTTGTCATCCCTTCAGTCCTCTTCCTGAAGTACCAAAACATGCGAAATAGACATTTTGAGTGTGATAAATTATTGAGTAAGAAGTTAAGTGGTGGTGTTTCAGTTATCATAAGATAAGTAGATCACAAATGTTATCATACCATAACTGACCTATTTATGATAAGATGTTTCACTGTTGATCTTTTAAAATAAACAGAGAGCTGATACATTTATTTATTTAGAAGTAGTGGTATCCACTTTAAGAGAGCGGTCCACAATTTGTGTCATAGTACTAAGGATAGTGGCGGGATAAAAGTTTTAGATTAGTATAGAAGTGCTCACCTATGAGTTACGACTCCAGGCAGAATGCCCCCCAGATATAAGAGAAGGCTGTACAGATCAGAGTCCATACGCTATCTAACAAAGCGAGATGGGCTGGGGATGGTTGCAGTACAGGTGACTTGAACTGTTTCGGGGGTTGTGGGATGATGCAGTCCTTAAACCGTATTTTACAAGTTCGTAAGAGTGCTCAGGCATAATCGAGTGATTTCGAGGTTGGAAGGCTCGGTACGGCGGTTAGGGTTCTCAGTGATAAGAGTGGTCCGTCTCAAACAGGCGAAGTCACTTGAGACAATCTGGTCGCTTACAAAGGTGATGTAGCATGGGTTCTTGATATCATCATTTGCTCAGGTGATAGACTGAGAGCGTCCTGAAATGCTAAGATTAACCAAATGATTGACCGGAGTTGGACAGTAAGTATCTATCATCAATTTACGAATCAGGTGGCTCTTCTTGTTTGGTTCAGCATCTGCTAGCGGTTATAACCATGAGAGGCTTGCTTTCCTGAAACCCAAGGATTTAAAGGTTAGTCCGGCCTTCTACTGTCGTGAGCGGAAAGCTTATAGATATTACCTAGGCCGGGCCACCTCAGTGAGGTGTCTATTTAGTAGCAAACACATGTAAACGTGGAGTGGCTTCGGTCGTTTCAAGTTGGGCTCTTGTCTTATACGGGACTAGGGGAACCTGTCCGATGTGCCTACCAATGATCCGCTGTGGACCTAACCTTATAGGTGTTAAGTAGGCTGTAGACTAGTTGTTACTATGACTACAAGTTAGTGCATAATTCGCGCGGCTCGGTGATTAGTGCGGGGTATCGGGCTTAGCAGGGTAAACCCACCCTGCCGCCTGTGCCGGTTGAGGGAGTGGGTTGTGGTTCGCATAGGGGAATCAAGTTGGTTTATACGAACCCGTACGAGGCTGTCTGCTACTGCCGCAAATGACTGGATATCCAAATATTACTCAGTGAAATATATTCCAACGGGAGAGTTCCTTGAAGTGATGGAAGTTACAAGTAATTTCTGAACTTCAGTACCTCTCGTATTGCGTAAAAACTAAACACGTGCAGAATGAATGTTAGTTGAGCAAGCAACAGCTGAACGTGGTTGTTTCTTGCAAATATCCATACTACTAGAGTAGTTTAATTTTTTTCTTATAAATTTCCTGCCACTAGGGTGGCAATCCGTGGACTATTACAAATGTAATAATTAACACTCATAATAAAATAATGTTTTCTTTTTTTTTCCGTATATAACATTATCAAAATATCAATAGAGAAACAGTTTCTGAATATTTTAGAACAATCCTCAAGTTTTCAGTTTTTTTCAAAAAATTAATTCATTCTACAATTAATAATTAATCAGGCTAATATATCCATTTCAATACAACTAATAAAAAATAGTTTAGATTCCAGATGATAAATAAAAATCCTATTCTATTATTCAGTAAAAATGATCTCCAAGTAGGAAATACAAGTTGAACAGAGAAAATGAAAACAAAGCATTGATATTATCATTAATATTATGGTAATGTTATCAAAGTAATAAAATACACTAGAATCTGTATCACCAGTTAATATTCGTACGTCGAGTAAGCTCTGGCGGATCATATGCTTTCCCGACATCAAGTGTAATCCGGTTTCTAATATCAGCTGTGTTAGGTTCGTCACTAGGTATGTTTGAAACTATTACGGGTTCACCTTAGTCGATAAACGCGAACGAGACAATGAACCAGCGTCCAGGTAGGCTACCTTGATCTGAAACGGCTAAATAGAAGTCTTGATAAGCGTAGAAAGTATATTCTACAAACACCCAGCAAGCACAATTCAAACAAGCACACAAATCTCGTTTATTTATGCATCATGGAAACGTCCTTGGGACAGTCACAAAAATAGCACACTTAAATACACAGCAGCCAATCACAGCCAAGGATTTTCCTGGTGGGAAACGAAATCTCAAGGTCGACTGATCAGCCGATGCTCGCAAACATGAAATCCTAAATAAAGCATTTATCAAGCTAGTTCTGGGGATCTAACATCCCCAACAAGCTGTCATGATTTCACTGTGTGGTTGTCCAGTTAATTTTATACCAGCAGTGATAGGCAAATGAGAAAAACGAAGGAGAATCATAAGCAAGTAAAAGGTGAGAAAAATAATCACAATAACCCTAACAGTCTCACGATACAATAAAGAAGAAACTGGTAAATGAAGCAGATTTTTTTCACAACTAAATAGATTTATTCTTATGTCGGTTTTACTGACATTTGATTACTAGTTTATGTATAATACATATAAACGTAACTTAGGAAATACAGAAAATTTTATATTTAACGCCGCAGTTCACACAAAATGTGTATAAAAATTATTCTACAGATTAATGTTCACAAAATGAAATACATTGAATATTATACCAAATAATCATTACATTGATTGAAAAACGGAAGTGAACAAGAATTACTCTGAGTTAAAACATGATCTCACGTTTTCATTTCATCATTACAATAATATTAATAATAGCAGTAACAACAATAATAATCAATAAAATGAAAGAGAATAGTTGAAGTTTAATTATCAATAGTGAAACTTTTGTCTCACTAGTTGCTTTTATTGAATTTTGTATTATTTATATGTGGTAGTCTTTAAACAATACTTGTGGGAAATGAAACACATTGTTCAAATGAATTATAAATCGAATTAAATCCTATGAAAGATTTAAACTTATGAAAACACTATCTAAAGTAGATAAACATTAGTTTTTGGATACATGACAATGTTGCCTGAGGAAAAACTATGTTTTAGTGAACTTATTCTATCGTAATGGCGATTATCATGTTTGTATTTATTCTATAGTCTGTAACATATCTACAATCAGTGGTTTATATGCGATATTTCGCATAGTTGTGACATGCTTCTTGGAAATTACATTTTCATAAAACGTAACAATTACTTTGAAACAGTATGTGAGACATTCAAGTGGATACTGTAATTCGTGGTTTTAAATGTAACCAATATTTTCACTGAGATTATTCTGAATAAGTCTTGCTTTTTGACTTGTTGATTACAAAAAGATGAAGTTAAGTGAATTCATTTAATGACAAAACTACTAAACAACTTTATGCATACATCATAATCAATAGTCAAAGATCAATAATTTGACAACGAGATAATCAATTAACGAGTAGAATATCTGTAAATGAAGAATAT